GAAGGCCTACACTACAAAGCATGGGCTTCAACGTCACTTGCGTGAGTACCATGAAGCTACGGAGGACTGCAATCAAGTGGATGACACCCTCATTGACATGCAGTGTCACTTGTACGAGGCCGTTCAGTCCAACCGCTGCGCTGACTTGCTTCAACTGGCAGAAGTGCAATCATTCCTGGCCACAAGGTGCATTCTTTGCAATCGACAATTTTCCAGACGTCAAGAACTGTCCAGACATTTCAAACACAATCACTCCAGTGAATGGCATGAATGTGAGAAGCGTGCCATTGAGTTGGACAATCAGTTCAAACCACAGTATGGATGCGTCTGTCAACCCCAATTGCATAGCAAACATATTTGTACTCTCTATTTGCAATTCATCCTGATGAGGATTGAACATGAACGTGCAGAAGAGTCCCTTCCCACTGCACTTCCACCTGACATGATGTTGGGACTTTCTGAACAAATTGAACCGCTTCTTTGGAATGGTCACGTGAAGCTCCTGTACAAAAAGCGACAAGTGAGATTTACACTCACCACATGCTGCCAGCTGTGTGGACTGCGTTTTGGCACTGCCGCACAATTGACTGCGCATTTACAGTCACAGCATGCCGAACGATTGCAGGAGACACTACATCTCAAAGAATTACTGCAATGGACCTTGTTCATGGAGTTGGGCTGCTTTTGCAATCCCAGCGGTGGCTGGGGAGAGGCATATCATGAATGCGTGGGGTTGAGTCAATTGGCTTTTGTGATCCAGGAATATGGTTGGCAAGTTTTGGTTCCTTGGACCTTTTCTTCTACTGACCTGACTACGGTGTTGGAGCCTTTGCTACCACAGCCGGTGCTCTTGCGTGTCACCATGGCCATGATGACCAGAAATTTTCATCGCATTTGGGATGATACAGATCTTCATGCAATGCTGCAAAACAATTGTCTCCTTTGCCAGGAAGAGATTGCACAGGAACGGCTCATGCCTCATCTGGTGGCCATACATGGTATCACAGAAGACAGGCTCAAATATCTGACCTTGCAGCTTTGCTCTGTCTTTGCCACTCTGGTGACTCAGGGTGGACACTGCGAATGGTGCGGAACTGTGTTGCCCTGCCGTATTGAGGGTGATGACTTGGTGGAATATCCAGAAGAACATTTGGTTCGCTGCCCGCTGGTGATTCAATTCAGCATTCTGCTGATGATGCCTGTTTGGTCGAAGCCTGCATTGATCCCATTGACTTGGCCCACGCATGAGGCCATTCTGGCCGCTCAGCGACAGGAGGAACTCAAGCTTTGGCAGTTCAATGCAGTGCCCTCAGACACATTTGGACTTTCCATTGACCTACTGGCACAAAGCGGTTTAGTGATGTTGGAAGATCCTATGTTTGCAGGTGCGGTGAATCACAGATGTCTTTTGTGTAACAAGATGTTCTTCTCTGCCATGCGTTTTTCTGAACATTTGCATCGCACTCACAATTTCATGCAGATGCTGGCCTTGATGTGTTACCATCGTCTTTCCTTGCACATCCCAATGCCCTGTCGCTTTTGTGGCCTGCAGCACCACGCTACTCCGTGCCTGTCATTGCTGAACCTTGCCATCTTCCTGACCAATGGCTATGGAATCAGAGGAAATCGAGGGGATCGACGCGGCCAACCAAATTTGGGGCAATTTGTTGAACCAGGAGCAAATGAAGGCCCTTGGGATCGACGGCAATTCCAATGGCAGCAACAAACGCCCCCGACCGGAGGTTCAGAAAAAGAAGGACCCCAAGCACAGAGCCAACTCAGATTCCAGTTCCAAGACCCTGGTGTCGACGGAGCTTCTGGTCAAATTGACCAAACTGGTCATCCGTCACGAAGACTCCATCAATGTGATCCTCCAAGAATCGGAGTTCATATTACATTTGAACCCAGGGAAGGGGAGTGTCCTTCCTCAATTACTCCAAACGAGCCGCACCTGGCACCAAGACAGCTCAGCTCGAAAGATGCCATTGAGACATCTCCTGGCCCTCACCATGATGCAAACCTTGGAGGCCAGGATGAAGATTCTCATGGAAGCTGCCCCGACGGAGCAATTGTTTCAGGACTGTGTTCAGTACCACCTCGTGGTCAACAATCAGGACAAGACGATGCCGTTCCTGCGCTGGAACCAACAGCATCGATGTCTTCAGCCGACGGAGGCTCCAGGGATTCCCATAGCGGTGATCTACAAGAACATATGCAGCATCGTGAGACTGATGGCCGACAGCAGTGTGACACTCAGGTTTCATGCTCTGCGGAGGGCACAGGAGGGGGACCATCAACAGCCGGTTCCGTGGCTTTGGACTTTGAGCATGAGAAACAGTCCGGAGCTGCAGCAGCAATTAGCCGCCTTGTCGCATCACGCCATTTGGCAGCTCATTCAAGTGAGATTGAAGCCACAGACATTGGCTCGACAGCCGCTGGCGGTGCAGCTTCAGAAGACCCTTTGAGATTTGGAGTGGTGCGCCTCTTTTTGAATCCGAGTGGAAAAGCTTGTGCTGCGAACTCAGTCGTAGCTTGCCTTGCTTGGATGATGCTTCTAGCTGGAGGTTTTGTCTATGAGCAATGGCGATGTGGCTTCGAATTGATGAGAAACGTAGTTCATCACAGCCTGATCCCATTGGATTTGATGCGGCATGATCCTTTTGCGTGGCTGCTGTTTGGGGAGTGGTCAATTGAAAGATTTCTTACAAGGCAACAGGATGCCACTGAGTTTTGTGATTACCTTCTTCACCTTACTCAACCGAAGTTTCTCAATTGCCTTTGGGACATTCGTCCATCTTATGTGGATGGCTTGGACTCCGTGCATCTGGCTCACGAAAAAGGCCGACAATTCACACCCATCAAGTTGCCCTTCATTGACATTCACGCAGATTCAAGTTTCTTACAAGAACTTGTTGACGCCTGGCATGACAACCAAGGTCTTTGCAGAGCAGCTACAGAGGTTGGGAAACAGATTATTCTCTCCATTGATCGCCATGTTGACATTGCTTCATTCAAATGTTCACAGCGTGTAGACTGTCCAAGGAATCAAATTTTGATGCCTCATTTTTGCAACTCAGATGGTGACATCACACATGCTCCCATGGAACTTTGTGGGGTAATTTTTCACTTGGGTGCGTCGCCGCACACGGGACATTACAGAGCTGGTTTGAGACACAACGGTAACTGGTTACTGTATGAAGACGGGCGCATTCCAGACAAGGTCAGTGAGTTGCCAGACTGGGTATGCAGAAATTCAGTCTTGCTGTGGTTTGTTCAGCCAAGTGCAAGCGCTGTCAGGACCTTGGAGACTGCGGGAGAGGCCTTTCGTACCATCTACACTTCACCAAATCCGATGCAGCATGCTCGTTGGTGATTGGCCTGATCTTACATTGCACTGGCCTGGCAACTATGCATAACCTTTGACTTCATGCCACTTGTTTTGCACTAGCTGCGGCCGCTTTTTGCACTCCAGCTGGCATCGTGTTCTTGCGCTGCGCCGCTTGCTGCTGCTTGTGACGTGCGCCGGCGCTTGGTGCTGCTGACTGGTGGCTGCGCTTTGTGAGAGTTTTTCATTGGTTTCAATAGGTGCGTCAGGATTCTACTAACAACCACCTGTAGTCATCCTGATTTTTCACCTTTAATTCATTTGATTTCTTCACTGTAATCCTTAGGGATAGTCTGGTGTGTAAGTCCATTTGGTTTGCCGCGGACGTCAAAATCGGCAACTTCGAATGGCCGACAGCAAAGCTGTTGCAGAGCTCGCCTGCTGACACAACATAGTGTTAATGGGGTGGGAAAAAAACACACACACACAAGCTCCTTTGTGGTCTCGAGTACCACACTCAAGGGTCGGCTGACACCTGCACCTCGCCGCAGCTGTTGCCCACGTTTGACGGTTATCTTGTTCGCTGGCACGGCGTGGTGAACCTGCTGATCATTTCGGTGCTGACTGCCGCCTTGCGCTTCTGATCTTGCGCTGCTGCCCTGCTGCAACTTACTACTTCTTTGAGGAGTTAGGGGCGTTGCTGAGGCAGGCGATCTACTTCACTGAAGAGATCTTTCAGCTTGACCTGAACTTCAATATTTTCTGGCCTTTTATTTCCTGGGGTGGCTCCCGGTTTGTGCAATTGGGTGAAGTGTATGGGGTGGGCTCCCAACTCTTTTTTCACTGGCCCCATTCAGTGGTTTACCTTCCTCGGTCAAATACTCTTCTGGTCAGATTGCATCGTAGCTACCGGGTTTCTGCTGGACAACGCGCCCTTAAACCTTGGTTTGCTGACCTTTGGACAATATTTGGCTTTCACTTCGCTTGGCAAGTTTGGGAATTTTGGAATTCTTTTTCCTTTGGCTGGAAACAACGTGATACTCAAACCACGACTCGGTCCCAATTCCGAGCTGCACACTCAGCAAGAACTCTCTGGCTGGCCCTGCTTTGCGGCTGGATCATCTTGATTGTCTACAAGAGTGGGCTGTGGAGTGAGGGTTGCATTGTTGACATGGACAGTGCGAGAGTCACGGTAACAGCTCCTTGGCTTACCGGGGCGAAAGAACATGTCGAGGGGCGCCAATTAGCTTTCGAGCATCCCCAAACCAGACAGAAACAATGCACAAAGAAACGCAGTTTTCGTAGAGCACAGAAACGAGCTGAAGTACATGGTTTCACACTTTACAAGGGCCGTTTGTGCACAGCAAAGAACCTGGGAACTGAATACAAAGGATCCTCTCAAGATGTACCCAAACAATCGAATATAACACAAAACAGCAGAACGAAGCGACAGAGGTTTACATGCTATAGTTGGAACTGTAGCGGTCTCTCCCCCTCAGGGTGGGACTTCTTTCAACAATGGTTAACCTGTCAACAGTTGGACATTGTCATGCTACAGGAATCCCATTGGAGATATACGAGTGAATGGACCATGGAGAAGTATTTTGCAATCCACAGCGGAGCTAGTGATGGGCGTGGTGGCCTCCTATGCCTGGTCTCTCGAGACCTCTGCACCATGGATGCTCTCTCTTGGCAAGAGATCATACCAGGCCGCCTGTTGCATTTTCGGATCCATGGTAAAGATCATGACCTTGATTTCATCAATATTTATCAACACATACATGCAAAGGAGCGCATGGAAGACAGACTCACTCTTTGGAATGACCTTCAATCCCTGCTGATGCGGTTACCCAAAAGAAATCATCTGACCATCCTGGGAGACTGGAACACCTCCTTGCGGAAGACATCTCCTGCCGTGGGACTGGACACATACCTCTGGCAGACGGAAAGATGTGGGGGCCCTACACACCATGATGCCAATCATTTGCAAAACATTCTTCAACTTTTTGATTTGATTGTGGTCAATACATGGGATGCAGAATTGGGACCAACCTACATTTTTGGTGCACAAACATCCAGAATCGATTTTGCTGTTTGCAAAAGAGAGCATTGCGACGAAACCTCCAAGCATGCCCAATATCTCAACGACTTCCCTCTGAATTGCGTTTCTGGAGCTCATCATGTACCCCAGATTTATACACTGCTCAAGGTCTGGCATCCATCTCATCCTGCTGCACCACAGGGCTGGACCAGAACCCAGAGACTTGAACTTTATCGACAGTGGGTGTACTATCCTGAAGCCACAGAGGGCCTTCAAAATGACATCAAGACCAAGATAGCCTCTCTCCCCCTTGAGGGCAACCGTTTTGAGTCCGTGCACAGTGCATTGAATGAATTTCCTGCACCAAAAACACATCGCAAACGTGAAGCTGTACATACCTTTGATCCAACACCGTTTCAGCTCTTTCAGGAACACAGCAGAAGACTTCGTGAACTTCTGCAGCCAAACTTGGGCAACCTCTTTCAGGCCTGGTTTCATGTTCATCGCAGAGGTAGAGCTCGACAACAGATGAGAATCACATCAGCTAGAGCTCGAAAACAGCGGATTCAGAAGATCTTTCAAACTGCAGGACGTGCTGCGGCTGCCAAAGATCACTTCAGACTGTACCAGGCCATTAGGGAATTGGCGCCCAAACAACCTTTCAGACGTATTCAGATACGTGACACTGATGGCTGCATTGTGAATCCAATGGAAGCTGCGGACAGGATCAAAGAATGGTTTGAACGGCTCTATCACGACCCTGAGGCGGTCTCTGAGCACAGGACGTTTGCATGGCCTTTCACAGAACTGGAGCTACAACAGGGATTTAGTAACCTTCCTGCATTGAAGGCACTCTCCCCTGGATACGCACCAGCGCCATTTTGGCATTGTGCGGCTGCCGAGATAGCGCATCACCTGCAGGAGTACCTATGTGAATGCAGTGAACAGTTGCAATTGCCCAGACAATGGAACACTGGATCATTATGTTTGATTCCAAAGCATGCACGTCGTTCGCATGCTCCCCAGGACCTCAGACCGATCACGCTGTTGGAACCGTGCAGTAAGGCACTGCTTGGCACATTGGCTGCTCACCTTTTTGAAGTCATAGGGGAGTCACTTTGCTCAGTTCCACAGTACGCATACCTTCCAGGTCGTGGCACAGAAGATGCTCTGGCCAGAGTCTTCAGACATTGCGATGCTGTTCGAACCTCATGCACTGCACAGCAATATCCAATACAACAATTCGCACAGGGTCTTTCCCCTGTGAAACTGGGAGGTGGAATGCTGCTCACCCTGGACTTGTCGAAGGCCTTTGACATGGTGCCCAGAAATCGTTTATTTCAGTGTTTGTCGCTGCTTGGTGTGCCATCTGTTTTACTGGATTTTCTTAATGCCATTTATTTTGAAACCAGCTCGACATTTGTGCACCGTGGCCAGACTCGACACCTGGAAACATCAAAGGGCATCAGACAAGGGTGCAAAGCTGCCCCGACCTTGTGGGCAGCATACGCCACGGGCTTACTTCTCAAAATTGGTCAGCATTTGGGGGAACATTGGCTCTACAAATGCATTACCATGTATGCTGACGATGGATGCTTACATGAGGTGGTGACGTCTCCTGAGCAATTCCGCCTTCTGCTCTCCAAAATCGGAACCACTTTGGATTTGATTGAGGATGCACAGCTGACCATCAATTTTGAGAAAACCTATGCACTGCTGCGCTTGGTTGGATCAGACGTGATGAGAATCCAGAAACAACACATCTTGAGAACCTCAACCGGAACCTTTTTGAAAATACCCAGAAGCAATGGCTCCATCACTCATATAAGATTGGTCAAACAGTTTCAATACTTGGGTGCCTCGGTTTGCTACCACAACTATGAACGTATCTCGACCCTGGCTCGAATCAAAGCCAGCGAAAAGACTGGCCAGCAACTTCACAGGTGGTTGCACACAACAAAGGGGTTGACCGGATTCCAGAAGTACAGATTGTGGAAACAATGTATCTTCACCACAATTAGATACAGTCTCAATGCTGTGGGATACACCAAACAATCCATTTCTCTAATTGACACTGCCTGCCTCAGACAATTGAGAAGGATATTCAGGGAACCTGCACATTTGACACATCTGACACATCAAGCTTTTCTCCACAAATACGACTTGACGGATCCGATACTCCAGCTGGTGGCATTTTGCCAGGACGCTCAGGTGAGGGATCACAAGCGCCGCAATATTATCAAATCTTCTGATATCCTGCTGCGTGATCCACAGATAGACTATGACCAACAGATGCAGGTGCTGACCCAGACGTGGTACCTGCTGAGAAACAGACATCTTGACCAGACACCGTCGGAGCCTGAATCCCAGCTGGTCTGTCCACAGTGCTGCCACACCTTTACCACGTTGGCACACTTGAGGAAACACCTGACTGAAGCACATGGAGAACGATCAGGTGCAATCAGAATCCCATCACATGACAGAGCCGGCGGGGTCCCGACTTGTAGCAGATGCAGAATGCAATTTGCAACATATCATAGCCTGGCCTATCATGTTCAATTTGTGTGCATTGCCCCGACACAGGAGATCGAAGAAGTGGAGCACAGAGTCCGAGTACAGGAACTTCTGCAGTACGCCAGAGGGCAACAATTGCAGGCCTTGTTGGCTGATGCATCTTTGTTGGCCCACTTTCATCACAGATGCGCACTTTGTTCTTACTTCAGTATCACCATCAAGGGGCTCTACATTCATTGGCAAAGGGAACATCCTTCTGAATTTCAGAGACATGAACCGGTCAATGATCAGCTTCTTTCGGTGTTTGAACACGACAGCCCTTGTCAGCTATGTGGAATCTCCTTCAAGCGCTACCATAAATGCCACATCATCAGACAGATGGCACTTTTGCTCACTATGCACGGTCATGAAGCTGCACAAGAGAAGTCTTCTTTGGTTTGTCAGCTCTGCGGCAAGGCCTACACAACTCGTCATGGGCTTCTGCAGCATGAACGACGATATCACCGCGCTGAGCAGGCAGTGGATACGCTTTCCAACCATGACATTGACCTGCAATGTCTGATTCATCAGGCGGTGGTGGCCAACAAATGCGAGGATTTGCTCCTCCAAGAAGACATCCAGCACTTCTTGACCACGAGGTGCATCAAGTGTCAGAAACAATATGCTGGCCGGAGAAATCTCAGCAGACATATCAAAGACAACCACTCCTCAGAGTGGCACGAATGTCTACACAAAGCCATGGAACTGGATCATCAGTGGAAACCGATTCATGGATGTGTGTGTAAGCCTGTCATGTACACCAAGCACATCTGCATTGTCTACCTGCAGTTTGCCCTCCTCAGGTTAGACCAGGAGCGACAGATGATCCCGCAGCTGATTGCACAGCCACCCGATGTGGTCCTTAGTGTGGTGGAGCAGATTGAGCCTTTGCTATGGCTTGGACTGGCGCACAATCTTTACTGCAAGAGTGCTCTGAAGATGAATCTGACGATGTACTGCCAGGTCTGTGGCTACGCTGGAGCCAATGCGGAGGACCTCAGAAACCATCTGCATGCAGCTCACCCGGTGCACTTGCAGGAGAGCCTATACCTGAAGGAACTCTTCCAATGGAGCATGTTCATGGAGATGGGATGCTTTTGTAACCCGTCACCGGGGTGGGGCACCATGCATCATGAATGTGTCGGACTGCTGCAGTTGGCAATCATTGCAGCCTCCCTCAACTGGCAGGTTGTCATTCCCTGGCCCTACACCACACAAGAGCTGACTGCCCTTCTGGCAGATCTCCTTCCATGCGCAGAGTTTCAGAAAGTTTCCATGGCCCTGATGACACGAAATTTTCACTTGCTTTGGGAAGACAGTGATCTGCTTGGTATGCTGGCTGAACGCTGCTTGATCTGCCAGGAATCTGTCGACCTGGCGCACATTCAGGCTCATCTGGTGGTGCACCATCAGATCACAGCTGACAAACTGCGATACCTCACACATCAACTCAGTGTGGTCTATGCGCAGTTGAGCATGGCAGATGAAAGATGTGACTGGTGTCATGAGCTGATGCCATCGTACCTGGACTCTGAGGATCAGCTCTGTGTGGATGCCCATGCTCATTTGCAGAAGTGTCCAATGGTTACACAGATGGCCCTGTTGATGATGCATCCGAAATGGTCCAAACCTGCCTGCAATCACTGACTTGGGCCTCCCAGGAACAGATCGCGGAAACACGTCGCCTTCATGAATTGAAGAACTGGCAATTCAATGCCCGGTACTCAGATACACTTGGACTTGCCATGGAACTCACCGCGCAGGGTGGACTTCAGATGCTTGAAGATGAAATGTTTGCAGAGATGGCCACACACAAATGTTTACTTTGTGGCAAGGCCTTCTTCTTCTCTCAGAAACTATGCGATCATTTACACAGGGAACACAACTTTCTGCAATATCAGACATATCTGTGTTATCATCGGCTGACTCTGAGATGCAGCACCCCCTGTCAGTTTTGCGGTCTCAAGCAGCACAGTGCTCAGTGCCCGACACTTTTGAACCTGGCCGTTTTTCTCCTTAATGGATACGGCATCAGAGGCAGGGGACGGCATAGATGCGGCATCCAAAATCTGGGGGAACTTGCTGACGAAAGCACAGATGGACCATCTTGGCATCTCTCCGCCATCGGACCGCGACAGCAAGAGACCCAGAACCGATCGGAAGGAGCGCAGAGCTCGCTCAGGAGCTACTTCGACCACAACAGTGCCGACAGAAACCCTGAGCCAACTATGCCGTCTGGTACTGAGACACGAGGACACCATCAACAGCCTTCTTCAGGAGAGTCAGTTCCTGCTCCACTTCGCCCCTGGCGAAGGGAGCATACTGCCCCTGATGCTGGACACGAGCCGCAAGTGGTATCAGCAGCCAGAGAAAACAGCTCCGCTGCGACACATCCTGGTCTGCACGATGATGTCAGAAATGGAGCGTCGCCTTCAGACGCTGATGAAGGCCACCCCGACAGAGGCCTTATTCCAGGACTGCAAAGCCTACCATTTGGTGAAGGACGACCAGGACCGCACAATGCCATATCTTCGTTGGAGCCAACAGCGTCGCTGCCTGGAACCTACGGACCAGCCTGGCCTACCGATTGCCGAGGTCCTCAAGAGTCTTCAGAACATTGGGAGGTTGCTTGCAGACCAAAGGGTCACACTCCGTTTCCACAGCCTGAAGAAGATGACGGAGGACAAAGAACCTCAGCAATCAATCCCATGGATCTGGACGGTGGCGAACCGCAACAGCCCCGAACTTTGGCATCAAGTGGCCGGGTTAGCCTTTCACAGTTCTTGGCAGCTCATCCAAGTCCGTCTCCGACAACAAGGCATGGAGAGAACACAGCTGGCCAAGCAGATCCAGAAAGCTCAGTGACTTGCATCCCCCTCTTTGTCAACAGTACGGGCACAGCTTGCTTCGCAAATGTGGTGGTGATCAGCTTAGCATGGATGGCCCTACTGGCAAATGGGGATGATCCTTCACAATGGATCCATGGTTTCGAGCTGCTTCGAAACATCTTTCTTGCCAACCATCGTGTGATGGACCTTCCGAAGTTTGGACCGTTTGTATGGTTGCTCTTAGGGGATTGGTCAGTGGAGTCATTTCGATTGCAACATGACGTTTGTGAGTTTGCCACCTATTTGCTCAATATCATGCAACCACAATTTCTCCACTGCAGTTGGGTCACCAAACCAGACCGCCTGGCACCTGGGGACAATGTTCTGCCTTCAGAAAAAGGTTCGCGATTTACACCAGTGCAACTTGCATATTCAGATTACACAGCAGACTCATGCCAGCTTCAGACATTGATTGATCTGTGGAATGATCAGCAAGGTCTTTGCCGAGCAATTGAGGAGGTGGGTTTCCAGTTGATTTTGATGTTGGACAGATACAATCCTGAAACTCAAACCAAATGTCAGCAGAAGATCCACATCCAAAACAACAGTATCCGTTTCCCTTGTTTCTGCAATGCAAATGGAGATGTTCGCTTTGATGATTTTGCAGTTTGTGCCATTATCTATCATTTGGGAGCATCACCGCTCACTGGCCATTACCGGACAGCAATTCGTTATCAGCAACAGTGGATGATCTACGAGGATGGCAGACCACCTGATAGAGTGCCAGTCTTGCCAGAAAGTGTGATGCGTAACAGTGTGATGTATTGGCTCATCCGGCCTTCCCCACCTGTTGTCAGGACATTGGAAACGGAGGATCCGAGACTCTTCAGAAGCTTCAGCACTTTGACAAGAGATGCTGTGGAGGAAGTTCAGGCAGACCAGCCGATATGACTGTCCAGCCGCTCTTTGGACTGCTCCTGTGGATGAATGTGCCCTGATTTCTTTTCGGGTTTTGAGGTTGTTTTTATGAAATCCTCGTACCATTTTGGGTGCTTGGTGAAACTTCTCTCTTCATCCCACTTTGGATGTCCATTACTTTGGGACTGGAATGTATGCTTTTGGCGGCGCCTGCGGCTTTTCCTTTTGCTACCTGGTTGCTGCGACCTTCTACGGCGCTGGGACTTTGTGGCAGCAGCGGCGGATCTTTGGCTGCGGTGCGACGGCTGCGCTGAGGCCTTGGTGCTGCTGTGCGGCCGATGCGCTAGGGCTGAGCAAGTTTCTCGCGGCTGAGCGCCTGAGTGCCCTGAATTTTTCATGCGTTTTATTGCATTGCTTTCTCACACCTGTTTTTGCAGCTGCATGTCATGGTTTCCTATGACTAACAACTACCTGTTGTAGGCCCTGACATGCACATTTTGGTTCACTAATTTCTCCTGTAGCTCTACGGAGCACTTTTTCATTTGGTTTGGGAAAGACCCACTGGGTGTCCACGGACGTCGAAATTGGACACTCGGTGGGCCATGGATGAAATTTCCATGCTGCGCTCGCCTGCCGATCCATGCACAGGGTTGTTGGGGTGGTAAAAAAACACACACACACAATAGCGCCAGAAGGAGCCGTTTGGGGATTCGCGTTGATTTCCTGTGCCATTGCCATTTGTTTTTCGTTGCTGTGCGTTGGAACCAGTGCCATTTTTCATTTGCTGATTTCTTGCTGATTTTTCATTTCTGAACTTGATCGACATTTGCTGCTATTTGCATGCGCCACTGGGTTGGTCGGCTTTTGCTTCCTCAGCTTGTTGTGGGGCTGTTTGCACGTGATTTTTCCAAGTGCAACGCTGAGCACGACGCGGGGATTCAACAGGCTTGCCTTTCTTGCAACTACGACGTTTCATCAGACGAGCTTATTTGGCAGTGTGGGAACCACCCATTGATTGCATTTTTTCTGGGCGGTTTTTGCTATTCCTTGCATTTCAGATTGGACGTGGTTTGCATTCGATTCCTTCAACTGGCCAATTCTGCAGGGTGGCTCCTGCCCCTGTTTTTTGCGCTTTGGACAACAAGATTCACGGGATCTTACTGGTGCATTCAACAACTGGCCATTTCTGCAGGGTGGCTCCTGCCCCTGACCTTTTGTGCGCACATTTCAATACAATTTTCTGGACATTACAGGTGCCAACTTGCAATTTTGGCTGTTTTTGCAGGATTGTTCACGGTTTTGATCTTTGAGCCCTGGACAAACAGATACACGTGCTCCTTTTACCTGCAACTGGCCATTTCTGCAGGGTGGCTCCTGCCCCTGACCCTTTGTGTGCTAACTTTAATTTATTTCCCTGGGTGGTCTTCCAGGTATCAACTTGCAATTCTGGCCGATTCTGCAGGGTGGCTCCTGCCCCTGACTTTTGAGTTTTGGACGACAAGCTACACGGGATCTTATTGGTGCCAACAACAACTGGCTGTTTCTGCAGGGTGGCTCCTGCCCCTGACTTTTGGTGCGTTTATTTCAATTTATTTCTTTGGGTGGCAATACAGGTGTCTACGTGCACTTCTGGCTGACTCTGCAGGGTTGCTCCTGCCCCTGGCTTTTCCGGATTGGACAACGGTCTTCGCAACAACATTCAAGTGGCTTGCGTCGCTCATACTGGCCTTTTCTGCAGGGTGGCTCCTGACTATAATTTTCATTAACTTGGCGACGCGGCCACACAGGTGTGAGATTAACTTTCAAGCCAATTCTACAGAGTGGCTCCTGACGCAGTGGCTCTTTGGACGAATTGTCAACGTAGCCTGGGTCCTGGAGACAATCAGCCAGTCTCGGTGGGTCCCCCTTTCCTTGGGAATATTTCTCTGGCAATATTTTTTACTGGCCTTTTCTGCAGGGTGGCTCCTGCCCCTGAAATTTCTCACGACTGATTGCTCATTCAATACAGCTGGACGGAAGGATTTTACATTTGGCACCTTGCGACAACAATTTTGCATTGTGGTGTGGTTATTATTTCAACAATTGCCTTCAACTGCTTTTGGTGAGTGTGAGAGTTCTTTGCTCTTCTTCACTACGCAGTTTTGGAATTTTTGTGGCACTTTGGCCTTGACTCTGCATCACCTGGCCTCCATAGCAGGGCGCTTTTGGATTTCAATATACACTCAGCTGCACCCCTGCTACTGTTTCCTTGGCACAGCTTTTTCAATTTCATTTTGGCACTGGCTTGACTTTGCGAACACACTACGTGGCTACTTCAGCTCACGTGACACCATACCCGGTCCCAATTCCGGGCACTCCAGAACGCTGAAATTTTTGCGCCTGCTCTGTGTAGGATTGCTGTTTCAGATGCTACTCTCCCAGACCAGCTGGAGTGGGGGTGAGGGTTGTGACTTTGCCACGGAAGTCACTGGAGCACCTATGACATGGGATGAAGCTCTTGTGCACCAATTTGGTGCGAAGCAACGTGGGACTCAGCCGCTAATGAGCTCCGGCTATCCATGGCCCACAAAGGATTCTGTGCAAAAGAGAAGTATCCGAAGAGCCTACAGCCGTGCTTTGCGAGATGGCACAAGCTGGTATCGAGGCAGATGCTACGCAGTTCAGGACTTCAACACCATGATCCCTTCATTGGCCAAAGGTTCTGTTCCAATCAATGCTGCGGGCAAGAAGCCTCCCAAATGCACTCAGGACCTACAGATGTGCAATCAAAAGCATCAGCACAAACGGTATTTGAGATACCTTTGTTGGAACGGTAGTGGACTCAGCATCCACAAGCTGGATGAGTTGAAGGTGTGGTGCAGCGAACAAGGCATTGACATCCTGATCCTGACTGAGACGCGTTGGCGCTACAGCAATGAGTGGATGGATCCTCACTGGATGTACTTGCACACGGGCTGCTCTACCCAACCAGGTGCCGGTATCATGCTGCTGATTTCAACCTCAGTTTGCACACATCATGATTTGCGCTGGCATGAAGTTGTTCCTGGTAGACTAGTTCATGTGCAGATTAGGCTCCGGCAACGTTGTCTTGATGTCATTGCATGTTACCAACATACTCATTCAGGCACGCATGCCAAACAGGCAGCGAGACGGGAATGGTGGTCCTGCTTGGACAGATATTTGGGCACCTTGCCCAAGCGTCATGTTCTTTTGATGGCAGGTGATTTCAACTGCCGGCTTCTGGCTCTGAAGGGCCTGGTGGGCTGCGATGATTTTCGATGGGGCCATTCTCTCCAGAAGGGCTCTCCGCATCCAGATGAAGGACTTTTCACTGCCTTAGTCAAAGCTCATCAGCTGGTAGCCTTGAATTCCTGGAACCCTTCACTAGGACCAACTTTTTCCGGCGTTAATGGTAGATCTCGAATTGATTTTGCATTCACTCGCCTGCCACTTGCTGACGGTTATGCAAAGGATATCAAGTATTTGACTCAGGCCTCTTTTCTGAATATTCCACATGTAGGTCATTTTCCAATACTGGGCCAGATCCGAAAGATGTGGATCCCCCCGGTTGCAGACCAGTGCACAGCAGGAATCTCGAAGCACCAAAGAGAGCTTGGCCGCATGGCCATGATGTCCAGCAGCCCTGACTGGATGGCCTTTTTGGAGTCCGCTTCTCCGATTGTGCATCACCTTGAGCAGGCTAGTCCTGCTGACCCCAATGTGATTCCAGAAATGCATAGGCTTGCTAGCCAATTATTTCGAAAATGTTTTCCTGAGCAACCCAGACAGACACAGGTGTCCACACAAGATGTTGCCAGCGCTTTCATCCTGAACAAGTGGAGGCATCGTGATTTGTACAGGCGCGTCCAACTTCCCACACTGCGCAGTGTTTTCCAAGCATGGTTTCACATGTCACGTTTCCAAAGTTTGAGCAGATCTCACAAAAAGCATGCTTTTTTGATACGCAAACAACGATTTGACATGATCATGGAGCAGGCTCAGCTGGCTGCCCAGCAGCACAACTCATACCAGCTCTTCCAGGTGATCAATCGTTTTGCACCGAAGATGCCCAAACGCAGACTGCAGATCCGAAACAGACATGGAAACATTGCGACACCGGTTGAAGAGATGGCCATCCTTCATGCTTTTGTTGCCACAACATGGGAAGGACCAACCACGGTCCCCAAAACCCTTGATGTTCCGGCAGGTCTCCCTTTCACCATGGAAGACCTCCTGAGAGCCCTGATGGAAATTCCAATTTCGCGTGCTGTGGCCAGACCTTTCTCCCCAGGCATGATTTGGCGTTCCCTTGCACCGGTAATTGCCCCACCTCTTTTCCGGTTTTTGCAGGCCATTTGGAATTGCCCTGAACCCCCCATACCTGATAATTGGAGGGATGCCTGGCTTTTACTCATCCCAAAACCAAATAAACAGCCTTGTAGCCCAGATGCCTTGCGCCCTCTGGCGCTCCAGGAACCGGTAGGTAAATCCATAATAGGGCTACTTGCGCAGGTAGCACAAAGAGAATCACTTCCGGCTCTTACATCTTGGCCACTTTGGGCATACCTTCCAGGGAGAGGTACGCAGCATGCGCTGTACAGGGTAGCTGGCCATTGCTCTGCTGGCCGATTGCTAGTTGCCTCTCAGAGACCGACAGCCTTTCATCGACAGCAGTTGACACCCATGTACAAAGCCTGCGGAGCTGCTCAGGTCTTCCTGGACCTTAGCCGTGCCTTCGACAGTATCAATCGTGTGGCACTGTTTGGTAGGCTCAACGAGGTTCTTGACAATCCCAAGGTCATTTCCATGTTGGCTCAATGGCATGAACATACCTCGTATCATGTTGAAGCAAATGGAGGCACAGCTCCTATCCAAGTAGGTGCTGGCGTACGCCAGGGGTGCAAGGCTGCACCCTGGCTCTTCAATGCCTTTGTTTTGTTGTATTTGCGAGACCTTGCTCATCTCATCCCATGGGAATGGATATGCAGCCACATGAACATTTATGCGGACGACATCCATGCATATGGCTTGTTTCATTCAGCTGCTAAAAACTCTCCCAACTTCTTTATTTTTTCGGCCTGATCATGGAAGCACTTCAAAACAAAGGATTGCACATCAACACTGCCAAATCAGCTTTCTTGCTCACCATGGGAGGGACCAATTTCCGTGCTGTGCGCTCTGGCTTGATTCAACGGACAAGTGCAGGCGAGAGAATAAAAATTCATGGCGATCACCAGACTTTTGATCTTCCAGTGCTGCATCAAACCAAATACCTAGGCACCTTGATCAGTTATGGGTCCTTTGAAGATGCCACAACCAAGCTTCGTGTCAGCCATGCCAGACTTGCTTTCACCAGATTGAAGAAATGGCTCACCGCAAGACGGGGCTTAGCTGTCAAAGAGCGTATGCGCTTGTGGTCCACATGCGTTTTTCCAGTTTTGACGTATGGCATTTTCACAATTGGCCTGACCACCAAGGGTCTTCAGATGCTGCAGCACACCATGATATCAATGATCCGACAGATTCATCATGATCATGCATATCTAACTGGACGATCAAATGAGCATGCCCTACTTTTTCACGGTGTGGCACCTCCATTGCTCTGGCTATGGACGACTGCTGATTCCTTGTATCAGTCAGTCACCAAGATGCATCCGCATTCGACAGAGTTTGACCTGTGCCAGACATTTGACTGGACTGCCTTGCAACAGACCATTGATTTCATCCACCATCAACATGCCAAGGGCCTGACCGTGCCCAGTGGAAAGCTTGCAATGGACGAGGCCACTCCTTCTCCATGTTTGACATGTCCGCTGTGTGACTTTGCCACATATCATTTGCCAGTGCTACGTAGACACATGACTTGTACCCATAATCTCCCCAGATTTAGGCGACATGTCCCTAATCCTGCACAGTACATGAAACATGGCCTTCCTCAGTGTACCATGTGTGATCGAACCTTTACGACCTGGAGAAGTTTCAACATTCATGTTCAGCGTGGCTGCCAGGACACCACGCTGGAGCAACGACAAGCCCGCCCGGTGGCACCATTTCCGGAGAATGCTGCGCCTGGCCTGGCCTTGAGCACAGGTGCCATACCAAAGCTGACAAAGGAAGAACTGCACTCCATCCAGCAACATGAGTTTGGACCTAGGCTTCTGACACTGATCCATCAGCGCAGTTGGGATGACTTGCTGAGGGAACGCGCAGGTTGCACGTTTCTTTGACGCAATTGCCTCCTTTGCGGCCAGTTCATCGGCAGGGCACAGGCAATGCATCACCATTTCCGTTTGATGCACAGTGCCTACAGCAACCTGGTGCACTCCAAGGCGACGCAGCTCACAAATTTGATGAGTGACGAGGCGCCTTGCCCGGCATGCGGTGTGATCTTCAACTCGACGCACTCATACAACGTCTGGTTCCAGGTAGCCATGCTGATTGTGCACGGCCCCAAACCTGCCACAGATGTTCATGCCAAGCCGCTGGATACCATGCAGTGCGAAATATGTGGGGTCCATTGCTCCTCTGCTCAGGAGCTACATGCCCACCTTCAGAAAGTTCACCGATTGATCAGCTCGGTGTGGCATGAAAGCAGAGACAGCTGTGATGGCAAACCGATTTGCAACCACTGCAAACAGGACTTCAAGAACCTTGAAAGCTTGCGCAGTCACATAAACCAGGGAAGATGTGCCAAATTCAACCCTGATTTGACCACCACTCCAACGGAAGTTCTGCTGCTGTGGAAAGAAGCATGCTGTCAGGGACGACTTGAAGACATCCTCTCTGATCCACACAACAAGCTACGGCTTACGTTGCGTTGCCAATGCTGCCCCAAGAAGTACACCAGGTCAGCCGATCTCTCGGCTCACCTCCAAGGTAGTCACGCAGAGATTTGGATGGCGGCACAACCTTTTGTTCATCAACTGGTGCAGGGCTTTTATGGCTCATTGGGCTGTGTTTGCAATCCATCCTGCAATGTCAACCGGCTTCATCATGTGTGCATGCCTTTTTTGCAGCTGAGCATGCAATTTGCCAGACTCAAAGATGCGATGTTTCTGCCAGCCAAACAGACTGTCACAGAGATTGCGAGAGTTCTTCCACCACATGTCCCTGTTGACCTTCGTGGAACTCTGGAGCTTGCCTTGGCCAACTATGACCTTGACTCTCTCTGGACAGATGCGCTGCTGATGGATGCATTGAGCGGCACTTGCGTTTTCTGCGGCCATGATCTCCTGCCGGCAGAGCTCAACTACCACCTGCATGAGGCACACATGGGGGTGCACCCAATTGTCAAAGCATATGTTTTGCAGCTGCTACCACATGCTTACTTACATAGTGACAGTGATTGCGCCTGTTTTGCATGTGGACAGATCTTCAACCTGCCTGTTACCAATCCTGATGCAGCCCAGACTGCATTGCGACAGCAGCTGGTTCAAACTCACCTGCGTGCCCAGTGTCCCAGCGTCTTGCAGCTTGCTGTGCTGTTGGCCCATCTTCAACATGGAGCAGCACGACTGGCAAATGGGGCAGGACGATGCGTTGCAGCAGATGCTGCAGACCTTCCAGAACATTGCGCCGCTTCTGGACAACAGCCTGAAACTGGCTCCCAATCCAGCAGCGCCCAAAAGGCAAAGACGGGCACCGGACCATGCAGATCCAAACGACAAAAGCTCACTCACAAAGGGCCAGCCACAGCAGATCGATCAACAGAAGCTCCTTCTCCTGATGGGCCGCCTGCTTCTGAAAGTGGATCGAGACCTCCAGGTGCTCCAGCGCGAAACCACATTCATCATCTTCTTCAGCAGTCAGGAACAGACCGGCATCCTTCCTCTGCTCCTGCAGGAAGCCAATCAATGGCATCAGCAATCAAAGGAGGGGTCATCATCATTGAGGATGCCGCTGAGACAAGTCTTGCTTCAGTCGGTGGTGAAGGAACTGATCGCGCGGCTGACCAAGCTGACAGAGGCCCCAGCCGACTCTCCTCTCCTGGAAGTGGCACGGAAGACCAACATCGTGCTGGAGAACAACACGATTCCCTTCATGGAATGGGATGCCTCGGAGAAGCGGCTGAAGGTGGCAGCCAAAACACCGGTGAGCCTGACCAAGATGGGAGAACATCTCCTGGAACTTCAAGAGGGGTTCAAGGATGCCAACCTAATCCTGAAATTCCACTCCTTGCCAACCAAGCCGGACAGTGTGATCACACCCTGGCGACTCCAGATGTCCTCGCGGGAGGATCGCACCTACGAGCTCATGCTGCACCTGGCACAGAGCCAAATATGGACACTCATTGCGGCCAGCCTCAAGCAGCACAACCTCTACCAGAGCTCCCTTGCGGCCAACCTGGAAGTCGGTCTCGGCCTGAAGCCAAACAAGGGCCAGGGCAAGGGGAAGACCAAAACCAAGGGACACAAGATGCCGCAGACCAAGCAGGAGAAGTGATTCCTACGCAGCAGCAGCTTCTTGAAGCTGTCTCCAAAATGGTTCTCATCAATCCGAACAATTGGTGCTTTTGCAATACTGCTGCATACTCTTTGTTTTGGACTGTGTTGACCTTGAGTTGCTATGAACCGGCAATGTGGGGAATCCAGAGTCATGACATCATGCGATTTTTGCTGGCCTCCAGACAGACACCCATGAATCTGGCTGCGCAGCAATTTTTCCGAGATATCATGCATACGTGGGGAAGGGATGAGATCGGACGACACAATTTCTCGATCTCTCAGCAGGACTCCTCGGAGTTTGTTCAGGTTTGGCTGCAAATGATGCAGACTTCTGTCTTTCAGATGCAATGGGAAAAACGCATGAGCGCTGCTGATGCGACACATGTCATGGACAGCAATCAGGAAGCCTGCGCCCCCCTTTGTTTGAAGTTTGATGACACTCTCATGCTCTCCCAGTTCTGCACCTTGACCTCCCTTGTGAAAACCTGGCACCAGGCAGATGGAATGCGCTCGGCATTCTTGAGCTCCTCTCCATGCGTTTGCATTCACATTGACAGATGCGTCATGGGCCCTGAGCTTACAGTCTACAAATGCACCAGCAAACTGCAGATCGATGAGGTATGCTGTATTCCTGTTTTTCAAGATGGCTCCATCGCATGCGAGTTTCATGAATACACGGTTGTGGCTGTGATGTCACACCTTGGACAAGATGGGGCTGGGCACTATAGGGCGGCATTGCGGACACGTCCACAAATCCTGCGCTAGACCAGCCCAGTTCAATGGCTAGTCACTGATGACTGGCGCGCCCCTGAACCAACATGGATGCCGAAAGATTGGATGCAGGAAAACATCACCATGGCCTGGCTTGTACGTACGGATGTGCTTCATTTGCCCTACTACAGAGCTGAGCCTGAGACTCCAACCACATCGACAGCTGAGCTGATGAGACTCCTCAATGCAGCAGCCACATGAGTTACGAGGATTGCACTTTTCCATTTAAAGCAGATACTTTCTTTTCACTTTCTCCTTGGGCCAATTGTTTCCTACGGGAACCGCCACGAAACCTTGGCGCTGGCTGGCATGGACCTTTGATGCAAGAAAAGGCGTGCGCGCAAAAAAAACACACACACACACAAGCCCTTTGCGCTCACGAGCAGCGCGTTCAAGACCGAGGAGGTCTAGCCTTTCAGTCGCAGCTGTTTTCCCCTCGACCGTGTCTACCGGGGCAGTGCCATAGACTTTGACGCCGGGGTAGGCTCCCGTGATCAACACTGGCCTTGGGGTGGGCTCCCGTATCTGACTGGCCCGGAGATTTCTTATTTCATTTGGATTTTCATTTGGATTTACAATTGGATATTTATTTTCAGGCTGGAGGGTTGGGCGCCCTGACTGACAGTCCCATCAGTGGTACAATTTTCTTCAATTGGCTCTCTGACTTGCCTGCTGGACAACGGGCCCTTGCAAGTTCAGTTGAAGATGCTGATTCTCTTGATTCTTTGGATTGGAATTTTGAGGGAAACGTGCCCAATTTTGCAACAGCTGCCAGAGCGCAACCCGGTCCCAAATCCGGGTACGTCTTGTGCTTCGATTGACATGACAGACCACTACCAGATCTCCAGGCGACAGAGACTTCTGACTGACTTGCCTGGAATCCAACTCACAGGACGTAAGGGTGAGGGTTCCTGCACATCCACAGGTGCAGGTGAAGCAATCAATTGGTTGCCGATTTTGACACAGACAGCAAATTGTGGACAACCGCCGACAATGGGCTCCGGTCCAACAATGCAGACCCCCAACAAGCGCTGCAACAAGATCCAGAAACGAAGTATTCAAAGGGCATGCAAGCGTGCAATTCAACACGGTATGGCATGGTTTCGAGGACAGGCATACACAGTGGATCATTTTCCCCAGACATTGATCAATAAGTGCGAGGCAACACCACCTGCACCACAGACATCACGCAATTGGTGTTCTCAACAGGATCAAAAACATCGCCTCCGGATCATGCAATGGAACCCAGGTGGACTCTCCCAGAGTTCATTTCTGGAGCTGAAGTACTGGCTACAGCACCAACCCATTGACATTGTCGTGCTGTCGGAGACGAAGTGGAGTTTTAACTCCTGCTGGTCAGATGCCCAATGGTCATATGTGCACTCTGCCTCCAACGACCCTCGATCTGGAGGGGTGTTGATCATGATCGCCAGACGCTTGGCAACACCGGACTCAATCGGTTTCCTGGCCCTGGAAGATGGCAGACTCTTACATGTTCGAATTCACCATGCCAAGAGGGCTACCGACATCCTGGCGGTCTACCAGCACGTGGACTACAAGACCACTCAGTCCCGCAAACTGAGAGCTCACTTGTGGGCCAAGCTTAGCGACTATGTTGGACAACTTCCACAGCGAAACCAATTCATTTGCAGTGGAGATTTCAATACAGCCCTGCCGGGTGTGGCACCATGGACAGGCACAGGACATTTTCACTGGCAAGGATCTCGGACCTGTGGATCTCAACATGAGGACATGCACCAATTTTTGGATTTCCTGCGGATGCACTCATTGACAGCTGTTAACACCTGGACGGAATCCACAGGACCGACATACCACCATGGCTCAGTTGCTTCCAGAATTGACTTTGTGCTAATGCGATTGCATGCATGTGATGGACAAGCCAAAACCCCTGCTTACCTTAAACATGCTGAATTCTTGCCAGTCAATACTAATCATCATGTACCTATAGTTTGCTCGGTGAAACGCATTCACATGGCATACCAGGTCCACCGCATGAATAAGGCATGTACATATGCACAAAGAGCTCAATGCAGGATGGCCCAACTCCAGGATTCCACTGCTTGGCAGGCGCTCACCACTGCTGTTGATCAAGCCGTTGAGGAACCAGTTGACCCATCGACAGATCCGGAACAGATCATCACGACTCTCCATCAACGCGTGATTCCCACTTTCCAGGAACTTTTTCCAGGCAACAAATCCCAAATCCCACAAGTTAATTATGATGATTTTCACCGCATGATTCAAGACAAATGGCATCATAAGAAGGCTATCCAACAGATTGTCATCATGACCTCACGACCGACCCTGCAGGCACTTTTTCGGACATGGTATCACTGGAGCCGATATTGCTCTGCACAGCGAGCCCACCAGAAAGAAGCCAGACAGGCTAGGGCCAGACGCTTTCATGATTTGTGCCAACAGGTCCAACAAGCGGCAGACAGACATGATGCTCATGGCATGTTCACCATACTGAACAAATTCACCCCCAAAAAATCATGTGCCAAGCCCAGACTGCGTACACCTGAGGGCAAAATTGCAGATCAGTACACAGCGCATTCCTTGACAGTTGCATACGTCCGCACCACATGGCAGGGACCATCAAGCCTACCACATTTCAGTGATGAAGCCCCGGGAGTGCCGTTTTCCATTTCAGATCTCTGCGTTGCACTGCACAACCTGCACCCGCACAAAGCAGCGGCAATGCCTTTTTTGCCAGCCACCGTTTGGAAAGGCTCCAGTATGCAGGTTGCTGATTTCATTCACAGAACCCTGAATATTTGGTGGGGTCAATACCCCCCATTTATACCCAGAAGTTGGAAGGACTCTTGGATTTACTTTATCCCAAAACCAGGCAAATCATGCGGGAGTCCCGACCAACTCAGACCAATATCCCTCATGGAACCTTTGGGGAAACTGGTGATGGGACTACTGACTTATCAATTGAAATGTCATCTTTCCCACAGACTTTGTCAGTCCCCCCATTTTGGATTCCTACGTATGAGATCAGCTGCAGATGCAATTGCCAGGGTCAGTAGCCACTGCCGGCAGATCAGAACGCTGGTCGGCAACCACAGACGGTCAGTCCAACAGCAAATGCGATCCCCACCCAGGTCGACCATACTGGGTGGTGTACAGTTATTGCTCGACTTGACCCGTGCGTTTGACTGTGTTGACAGAGCCATTCTCATTGAACACCTCCACGAACTGAACACCCCCCATGCTTTACTTACCCTTATCACTTGTTGGCATGAAAACACACATTACAATTTACCCTTTCAACAAAACACGGACTCCGTACAAGTAGGCGTTGGCCTTCGACAAGGATGTAAAATTGCTCCGCTGTTATGGTTGGCATACATGAACAAACTGTTATGGCTCCTCACACCACTGACTGGAGAAGCCTGGATCCGTCAATGCCTGACACTGTATGCGGACGACCTGCATGTAGGCTGCCAGTTTCTGACCGTTGGTGAGCTGGATCATCATTTGCAATGCATGGGCCACTTGCTTGATTGCATAGAACGCCTCAAACTGCAGATCTCTTTGCAAAAGTCTTATTTGATTTTTTCCCACACTGGCAGCAACGTGCGGCATGCCCTCAAGGGCCGAATGTGCTACCTGCAGAATCAAACACACCTGTTGCTGCCCCGTCGCACTGGAGAGGCTACGGCGTTGCCGTTGAAAACCATGGGACGTTACCTGGGAGTGATTGTTTCCTATCATGCATTTGAACAGCAGACGTGGCTTCATCGCAAGAAGACTGCCTGGATTGCATATGCTCGCCTCAAACGTTGGCTCCGTCACAGACAAATTCGACAATCTCATCGAATGTATTTGTGGCACACCTGCGTACATACAATCCTTGTGTATGGAATTTTTGGTACAGGAGTCACGGTGCAGTCACTAACTGATTACCAACTTACAGTGTTCCAAATGATTCGAATTTTGATCGGTGACCACTCCTACATGACAGGGCACACTCACCAGAGGGCAATACAAAACCAGTCTCTTCCTCTCCCATTGCAGCTCTTGCGGCATGGCGCGGAGAAACTATGGCTGAGACTCCAGAGGCGTGCTTTACAACTGGACCCAACAGACTTCTTACAGCAGGTCGACTGGCAACATCATCAAGATACAATGCATTTGATTGACCAGGTACACCACAGCATGCCGGACGTCCCCATCGATGGTGATGCATTGATGACGACACCACAGGTGCAGTATACTTGCTCACACTGCAGTTTCATTACCAACTCCATTCCTAATCTCAGAAGACATCATACCATTGCACATAACTTGCCACAACACCGTACCACCCCAAACACCATTCTTGACATGTCACTTCATGGCAGAGCTCAATGCAAACACTGTCATAAACAGTTCACTACTTGGCGCAGTTTCCTCATCCATGTGGAAAGAGCATGCTGCCAGGCCCCTGCAGCATCCAGCCAAGCTGCACCTGCAGACCCAGTGACCAGTGGCAACCGAGCAGAACGGAATAGCTTTTTGATCACCACCCAGCCATTTTGGCCGACACTGAAGCAGATCATCCGAGATCAGACATGGCATCAACTACAGGAAAATCCTGCCATTGGCCAATACCTGACTCACACCTGTATGATCTGCGGCATATGGAACAATCGCTGCCAGGAATTACATGGCCATTATCGGCTCCACCACTCTGATGTGGTGACAGGCATTTTTGCAAAAAGCGCCCAGCTGACCAAGGTACTGAGGTCCCCCAGCCCATGTGTGCTTTGCCAAAGGGAGTTCATGCACGGCCACACGTGCACAGTGTTCACCCAGATAGCTGCGCTGCTACTGCACTGCCAGACTTCAGATGTGGATGTTGACCGGGTTCTCAGGTGTGAGCTGTGCCAAACCAGATGCGATGACCTTCAGAGCCTGCACCGCCATTTGAAGGCGGAACATGAGGTGACTGTCTTCGACTGGAATGTTGCCAGGGACTCAGTACCTGGCTCCACAGCATGCTCTCACTGTGGCAAACCATTCACCTCACGTGATGGCTTGAGAACTCACATAATCACTGGCAAATGTGAGTTTTTCGATCCGACTGCGACAAACCACCCACTCAATGCGGCAGAGAAGTGGCGCACTCAGCTGACACTTGGGTTTTTGGACAAACAACATCTTTCAGCTCACCAGCGCTTACAGTTGACGCTGCATTGCCAGCTATGCGGCGAGATCTATGTGCGTTCCAATGATCTCAACGCGCATCTCCAACAGGCGCATGGACAGCTTTGGCAACGATCCAATGACCTAGTCAGGTACCTGCTTCAGACATTGATCAGCAGCCGCGGATGCATGTGCAATCCAACGGTCAATGATGACAGTCGAACCCACATCTGCCCAGGAGTTCGGCAAATGGCCATGATTTTCTACACCAGTGAAACTGAGATGTTCATACCGCAGCAGTACAACGAGCAGACATTGCGACTCACACACCGTGCACTGGAAAATCATGCAAGATTTCAGATGCTGTTAAATGTGGTGCTGGACCGGGACTTCAGCCATCTTTGGCATGCCCCTGCACTCTTGCAAATGTTCAGGCATTGGTGCACGCTATGTGGCGCCTGGTTTCATACAGCGGCTCTGATGACTCACCAACTGACCCATCATCATGATGCTTGTGTGTGGGCGGCCCAGCTCAAGTTTCAACTGGTACAATGCATGCAGACGGAACAGCCACAAGACTATCAGTGCAAATTCTGCAAATTGTTTTTCAATGACAGCACGGTTGACCCAGACGCAGCAACTGAACGTGCTGAACAACTGCAGATCCATTTTGCCTCGAACTGCCCCGTCCTCCAGCAAATTGCCCTTGTGTTGCAGCCACTCCATGGACGATCAGCTGATGCTCGACCAGTCGGACACGGAGCTCCTGCAGTCTTTCCAACATCTGGGACCCCTCCTGATGCAGGCGAGCCAGTACATGCGGGAAAAAGACGAAGAGCCACTGAACAAGAAGCTCAAGCAGGAACCCGTCGGCGCAGACAAGGCCGCTCAGCCACACAACCCCCAGAACAAGGCCCTGCTCACACTGATCCATCACCTGGCCAAGGTGGTCCTGCAACACGATCGGGCCATCCAGATGGATCGCAGACAGGACTCCTTCGTTATCTTTGCCCAAGTCAGTGCGGAAGGAGCCCTCCCACTGCTGACGTCGAAGGCCAAAGAGTGGAAGGACATGACGGAGAAGACCACCACCCTCCGCACCTTCCTGCTGAAGCACCTGATCCTGGAGCTACAACAGAGGGCCATCAAGTTGTCCCAGAGCACACAGGGGACCCAACTGTGGGACGTGGCAGTCACCAAAGGAGTGATTCTCCAGGACGGGTCGTGGCCGTTCCAACAGTGGTGCCACACAGAGAAGAAGCTCACCAAGTCTCATCGGGCACCGCTGCCCATGAGCCGCATCCTGAAGGACCTCCAGTTCATGGTGGAGCTCCTGACCGACAACGATCATGTGATGCGCTTCCATTCACTGAGGCCTCAAGCCAATGTGGTTCCCTGGATGCTCCAGATCAACCTGCGCGAGGACGACCTGTGGAGACTGTTCCACCAGCTGAGTCAGTCCACCCTGTGGGGACTCCTGGGCCTGAGTCTCAAGCAGCACAACCAACAGGTCAGCAAACCAGCGCAGTTACTGGATCAGCTGACCAACATGCAGGGGACACCGAACAAAGGACGCGGCAAAGGGAAGTCGAAGACCAAGACCAAATAGTCCAGCAACTTCGTGCTTCACTCCGACGGGAAGTAGCCGGAATGACCCTTGGCAACACGGGCCACATGTGCTACGCCAACAGTGCCTTCACATGCTTTTTGTGGTCAGGACTGAGTAGAGGCACATTCACCCTGACAGATTGGGGACGCCAACATGACTTGTTTCGTGATCTCCTGCTGGAACTCAGGCCTCAGCCTTTTAATTTGGATGCACAACTCTGGTTTCAGGGCATTACCCAGAATTGGGATGAAAATCGAGGCCAAGCAGATTCAGCAGAGTTCACAAGCATGCTGTTGCAATGGGTTGCACCATCCTTCCTTAGCTGCCACTGGCAACGCAGGCTGATGGAAAATGAATGCGTGCGGGTACATGACCAAGGTGACAGGTATCAACCACTCACGTTGCAACTTGACCCTTCACACAGCACAGACGGTATTGCACGCCTGACCGACATGCTGAGGCGATGGCACAACGACCTGGGCATGTATGCTGGCCTGCTGCAAGCCCCAGAAGTCCTGTGTGTCCACGTGGACCGATTCATCTATGAGGGTCATGGCAGAGTGCGCAAGACAGATACTCCGGTGTTTTTCGGAGGGCCCATTGACGTGCCCGTTTTTACAGATGATGGACTGGACTGCACATGGGAACGATATCAAATGACTGCGGCGTTTGCACACCAAGGAGATGCAGCCACAGGACACTACCAGGCCCTGCTGCGCACCCAGCCCAGCATCCGGCATCCAGACGCCGATACCTACTGGCTGCACTGTGATGATGACAGGCCGCCACGGCCATGCCGAATGCTTCCTCACCAATTCCAAGAGGGAGTGACATGCATCTGGCTTTGCCGCCAGGATATCATAGACCTGCATGCATGGGAAGAGGATTTGCTAACCACTCCTCCCGGACATGCTCAGAACCAGGACCAGCTATTGAAGCTCCTGCAACAGCCGTGACCACATTGGCATATGCTTCACCTGCCCATAAGCCCTCCAGTGCCCTGGAGTGTACCGTAGGTATCCCCAGCAAAAAAAAAAGGACCACCAAAAGAAGTCAAAAAAAAAAAGAGGACCACCAAAAGAAGTCAAAAAAAAAAATATTGGAGGCATAGCACTGTTTCACCATTGACACCCAAAGTCGGCCTACTCCCTACGTGGGTCGTGCCCAGAGGTGTCCTGACAAATGAGAACCTAGCCGGTGCTTCCGACCTTGCGCCATTTTGGCAACATCCGAACAGGCATTTTGCCAACCCGAACAGCCTAGCCGGCGATTTCCCAATCCGATAGATGCATCAACTGCTTGTCATCGAGGAGAGCCAAAGCCAACCGAAAGCCAGAGCAGTCTGAAACCTGGACGAAGAAAACAAAAAAAAAAATTGTACAGATTTCTTGGCGGACTTCTGAGCCCTTCTGATGAAGGCTCACACCAGTTGCCGACCCTGCATGCACCCAGCTCCCCGCTGGTAGATCCCCTTCCTTTTACATGCCCACTGAAACCCAGTGTGTACCCCCAGTTCTCCAGGGCCACGAAAAGAAGCCAAAAAAAAAAAGGACCACCAAAAGAAAAAAAAAAACAACAACCATAGTCCAGGTTTCACTCTGCCCAACGAGGCGATAGCCCATGCACTGGCGCGTTTTTATCGCCAGCTGCTCAGACATGCCCATGTCCGTACATGGTAGGCTGCCATCTTTTCTTTCCAACAATGAGTCATGGCACTTTTCCCACTTGTGCCCATGACGCAGCAGCCGTAGGGAGTCCAACAAGTTTCTCACAACAGCTGAGAACCGGCCTGGTCACAATGCCAGTGCTGACGGCGTGCGCCGGATCTGTCATCAGAAAAGGAGCGTGGGAAAAAAACACACACACACACACCCACGCCACGCGCACACACGCGCACACACGCGCACGCACGCGCACGCACGCGCACGCAAGAGCACGCACCGCGCGCGCGCACTGCGCACGCGCACGCGCACGCACGCGCAACGCGCACACGCACCCGCCCCGCGCACACGCACCCGCCCGCACACAAGCACCCACCCGCACACACGCACCCACACGCCACACACGCACCCACCCGCCCACACCACCCACCCGACACACGGCACCCACCGCCCACACGCAACCACCCGCCCACACGCACCCCACCCGCCCACACGCACCCACCCGCCGACACACACACACACACACACACACACACACACACACACACACACACACCCACACACGCACACACGCACACACGCACACACGCGCACACGCACACACGCACACACGCACACACGCACACCCGCACACCCGCACACCCGCACACCCGCACACCCGCACACCCGCACACCCGCACACCCGCACACCCGCACACCCGCACACCCGCACACACGCACACCCGCACACACGCGCACACGCACACACGCGCACACGCGCACACGCGCACACGCGCACACACGCACACACGCACACACGCACACGCGCACACACGCACACGCGCACACACGCCACACACGCACACACGCGCACACGCCGCCACACGCGCACACGCGCACACGCCACACACGGCACCCACGCACCCACGCACCCACGCACCACGCACCCACGCACCCACGCACCCACGCACACCACCCACCCACGCACGCACGCACGCACGCACGCACGCACCGCAAGTCTGATCCAAACCCCTCTATGAAATAGCGAGCGTCATGGCCCTGCATAAAACGTTTTATGTATGGTTTTTCTGTTGGTTGGACCCCCAATTTTATAGCCAAACCATGGTTTTGCATGATTCTGCTCAGAGTATGGGTTCAGGAGGGGGGGCGTCAGAGATCCCTATTTTATAGAGGATATGTTTGTTTCTTTAGCTTTGTTGTTTTTTCTTTGACAGGAAGGTACATGACATATAAATTTGGTGCATGTTTTTTTGAATTGAATACTTAGATATAGATCGTTGACCATGAGTGGATGGCAGTAAATGAAATTTATCCGAAGCCATTTGGCCAAGCAAAGGAGGCCGAGCAAATTTATCGAAATTTGATGAAGTCAGGAATTCAGAAACTCCACATGACATGGATCATACTGAATCATCATGAATCTATGTAACTCAAAGTTTGGAACATGTTTAAACCATGCTTTGAACCATGGAACGTGCTGAATGACACAAACCCACATGAACCTCACTCTTCTGCAAACTTTTACTTCCTCTACTATCCTTTCACATTTTTGCTACCATCCCTCTTGACGTCTGGCTTTGGGCAACCTCCTGCCACATCTTGCCACGACATGCCACGACTGGGCCCTTGCTGGCAGGGTGGGTCTCTATAAAATGGAGGGGTCTAACCCCCCGCCTGCACCATAAGCAGGGGTGGATCTCTATAAAATGGAGGGGTCTAACCTAACCCCCCCCTGCACCATAACACTGTTGCTCTGTGGGAGAGAGCAAAGGAATTGGATCAGCAGGAGAACCAGCACTCAGAAGCCATCTCAGCTCTCACTCTTCTGCAAAGTTCTACTTCCTCTACTATCCTTTCGCAATCTTTCACATCTTTGCTACTAATTGCTACCATCATTCTTTACTTCTTGGTTTGGGCAACCTCTTGCCACATCTTGCCACATCTTGCCACGACATGCCACGACTGGGCCCTTGCTGGCAGGTGGGTCTCTATAAAATGGAGGGGTCTAACCCCCCACCTGCACCATAAGCAGGGGTGGATCTCTATAAAATGGAGGGGTCTAACCCCCACCTGCACCATAACACTGTTGCTCTGTGGGAGAGAGCAGAGGAATTGGAGCAGCAGGGGTCACAACCAGCACTCAGAAGCCATCTCAGCTCTCACTCTTCTGCAAAGTTCTGCTTTCTCTGCTATCCTTTCACATCTTTGCTACCATCCCTCTTGACTTCTTGGTTTGGGCAACCTCCTGCCATATCTTGCCACATCTTGCCACGACTGGGCCCTTGCTGGCAGGGTGGGTCTCTATAAAATGGAAGGGTCTAACCCCCCACCTGCACCATAAGCAGGGGTGGATCTCTATAAAATGGGGGGTCTAACCCCCCACCTGCACCATAACACTGTTGCTCTGTGGGAGAGAGCAAAGGAATTGGATCAGCAGGGGTCAGAACCAGCGCTCCGAAGCCATCTCAGCTCTCACTGACTCTTCTGCAAAGTTCTACTTCCTCTACTATCCTTTCACAATCTTTCGCATCTTTGCTACTAATTGCTACCATCCTTCTTTACTTCTTGGTTTGGGAAACCTCCTGCCACATCTTGCCACGACATGCCACGACTGGGCCCTTGCTGGCAGGGTGGGTCTCTATAAAATGGAGGGGTCTAACCCCCCGCCTGCACCATAAGCAGGGGTGGATCTCTATAAAATGGAGGGGTCTAACCCCCACCTGCACCATAACACTGTTGCTCTGTGGGAGAGAGCAAAGGAATTGGATCAGCAGGGGTCAGAACCAGCACTCAGAAGCCATCTCAGCTCTCACTCTTCTGCAAAGTTCTACTTCCTCTACTATCCTTTCGCAATCTTTCACATCTTTGCTACTAATTGCTACCATCATTCTTTACTTCTTGGTTTGGGCAACCTCTTGCCACATCTTGCCACATCTTGCCACGACATGCCACGACTGGGCCCTTGCTGGCAGGTGGGTCTCTATAAAATGGAGGGGTCTAACCCCCCACCTGCACCATAAGCAGGGGTGGATCTCTATAAAATGGGGGGTCTAACCCCCCACCTGCACCATAACATTGTTACTCTGTGGGAGAGAGCAAAGGAATTGGATCAGCAGGGGTCAGAACCAGCGCTCCGAAGCCATCTCAGCTCTCACTGACTCTTCTGCAAAGTTCTACTTCCTCTACTGGTTTGGGAAACCTCCTGCCACATCTTGCCACGACATGCCACGACTGGGCCCTTGCTGGCAGGGTGGGCCTCTATAAAATGGAGGGGTCTAACCCCCCACCTGCACCATAAGCAGGGGTGGATCTCTATAAAATGGGGGGTCTAACCCCCCACCTGCACCATAGCACTGTTGCTCTGTGGGAGAGAGCAAAGGAATTGGAGCAGCAGGGGTCAGAACCAACGCTCCGAAGCCATCTCAGCTCTCACTGACTCTTCTGCAAGGTTCTACTTCCTCTACCATCCTTTCACAATCTTTCACATCTTTGCTACCAATTTGCTACCATCCCTCTTGACTTCTTGGTTTGGACAACCTCCTGCCACATCTTGCCACGACATGCCACGACTGGGCCCTTGCTGGCAGGGTGGATCTCTATAAAATGGAGGGGTCTAACCCCCCACCTGCACCATGACACTGTTGCTCTGTGGGAGAGAGCAGAGGAATTGGAGCAGCAGGGGTCAGAACCAGCACTCAGAAGCCATCTCAGCTCTCACTCTTCTGCAAAGTTCTGCTTTCTTTGCTATCCTTTCACATCTTTGCTACCATCCCTCTTGACTTCTTGGTTTGGGCAACCTCCTGCCACATCTTGCCATGACTGGGCCCTTGCTGCATACTACCGGAGCCTGTGTCTTGTTTGTTGGCAATAGAATGATCTTCCGGAGGTCCGACGTTGCGTCGTACGGCCGGCAATTTTGATATCTCCCACAGACCTTAACTCAGACCGGGCCGAATAGGCCAAAGGCTGTGGGGAAAACAATCTAGTTCCCCTTCTACCAATTTCATCCAATTTCTATCCTTGCATGTCCTTTCCACCCTGTCTTCTATATTCTTCATAACTTTACACCTGCAACATATTTTGGATCATTTGAAACTATTTGAGATAAATGTTCTCATTTTGTTTGTGGTGAACTGCACTGTTTTTCAAAATATAACACCCAGATTGGGGGGGTCAGAGCTCCTAATTTCATAGACATCATGATTTGTATGGTCAAAGTTTGGCAAGGTTAGTGGTTAGACCCCTTATTTTATAGACTTGGGGGTCCGACGTTGGTGCTCAGCAAATTATATGCACCCTAGGGGTCAATGACACCGTTTTATGTCTATAGAATAGCGGGCAAGACCCTCCCCCCCTGTTTGGAACATACATCGCACGCACGCACGCACGCACGCACGCACGCACGCCGCCCCGCCGCCCCGCCCGCCCGCCCGCCCCACGCCACGCACGCACGCTCACCGCACGCACGCCACGCGCCGCCCGCGGCCGTCGCGCGCTGGGCGCGCGCGGCTCCGCGCTGGCACGCGCACACGCGCACACGCACGCGCACACGCGCACACACACGCGCACACGCGCACACACACGCGCACCACACGCGCACACGCGCACGCACACGCACCCAACACGCGCACACGCGCACGCACACGCACACACACGCACACACACGCACCCACACGCACACACACGCACACACACGCACACACACGCACACACACGCACACACACGCGCACACACGCGCACACACGCGCACACACGCGCACACACGCGCCCACACACGCCCACACGCGCCCACACACACGCCCACACACGCCCACACACACGCCCACACGCACGCCCACACACACGCCCACACGCACGCCCACAACGCCATCCACCACGCCATTCACACGCACAACACGGCACACACGCACACACGCACACGCCACAAACACGCACACGCGCACGCACACCGCGCACCGGCACCCCCACACGCACACACACACAACACGCCATCACACGCGCGCGCACACGCGCACACGCGCACACGCACGCGCACACGCGCACACACACGCGCACACGCGCACACACACGCGCACCACACGCGCACACGCGCACGCACACGCACCCAACACGCGCACACGCGCACGCACACGCACACACACGCACACACACGCACCCACACGCACACACACGCACACACACGCACACACACGCACACACACGCACACACACGCGCACACACGCGCACACACGCGCACACACGCGCACACACGCGCCCACACACGCCCACACGCGCCCACACACACGCCCACACACGCCCACACACACGCCCACACGCACGCCCACACACACGCCCACACGCACGCCCACACGCACGCCCACACGCACGCCCACACGCACGCACGCACACACACACGCACACCCAACCACCACACGCACCACACACCACGCACACACACACGCACACACACACGCACACACAACGCACAACACCGCACACACACACACGCACACACACACACGCACACACACGCACACACACGCACACACACGCGCACACACGCGCACACACGCGCACACACGCGCACACACGCGCACACACGCGCACACACGCGCACACACGCGCACACACGCGCACACACGCGCACACACGCGCACACACGCGCACACACGCGCACACACGCGCACACACGCGCACACACGCGAACACACGCGCACACACGCGCACACACGCGCACACACACGCACACACA